ACAACATACAGCAAAGGCCAAGGAGTTGTCTCCCTGAGCAGTGGCGAATCCGAGTACTACGGACTTGTTTCTGGAGCATGTCAAATGCTTGGAATCGCATCAACAGCAAGAGACTGGGGATTGTTTCCCAGCAAAGAGGTGACAATGGACGCTTCCGCTGGCATCGCCATGGGAAACCGTCGAGGTTTGGGACGAGCTAAACATGTTGACACTCAGTACCACTGGGTACAAGAGCGTACAGCAAAGAAAGAGTTTCGTCTCAAGAAAGAAGGCACCGACCGAATGTTGGCCGACGTGCTAACGAAAGCTGTCACCGAAGAGAAAATGACTACAGCTATGAAAGGCATGAACTTCCACTACCTGGAAGGTGAGCATGAGCTGACTTTGAAAGCGTGAACGGCTTGAGCTAGAGTAGGTACTTCCACAAGACCAAGATGTACTGAAGGGCTATGGGCTAATTCACTAAAAGTGCTAATCCTGACTCGGTTAACATCTCCCAGAAGTTAAACTCGGGAGGCGTGATCAGATGTAGCACCAGTTACATGTACATGACATAGCTTGTATAGTTGTATGTTTCACTGCAGCCGTTTGTGGTTTACTTTTGTGTTCATTTCACTACCAGAGCTCACGCTTCTACTACAACCTTCTACTACAACCTTTGGGACAGTGACTTGGGGTCACAGAGTTTAAGAGCCTAAATTCTCCGTTCATGGGAGGCATCCGTGGCGGGCGCACAGATGTGGAGCCGCATTTCTCCTGCGCGCGCGTGTGCTTGGCAAGGTTCGTAGCTTTGGTAGTACTAGTGTGCAGCGCGAGCCGGCAAACATCCCACAAAAGTAGGTCAGGTTTTCGTTTATATCATCTATACAATGGGCATGCCCCCCCCAGCTACAAAATAGGACAGCCCTCCCGCCTTGCACACTGCATCGGTCATAGTCTGGACGCACCGCCGCCGCAGCGCGTTCGGGACCCCGCAGCAATTCCGATAAACCTGCCAGCGCCGCAAGCTCCTCAGGCATGTCGGTCCAGATGTAGCGCGGTCCCCGCGCTTGAACACCGTCAGGCAATGTGGATGGATTCTGGGGCAACTGTAGAAGAGGATGCGTTCATGTGCTGCTGCAACATGACAGCCGCTTGTGCCATCGAGCATGGCTAAAGCTGTGGTCGGGTGGGCATTTCCAACCAGCGCGAAAGAAACGCTATTGGCAGCCCCGCCTCCATAAGCCCCAGCCTTCCTCCCGTCTGGAAGAACCTATTCAAGAGACTTGTGGCTGAGTTGATGCCCGTCGGAGATTTTGCATGGGAAGTCTTACCAGAAACCGAATACGAGGAAGCTGGGGTAGACCTCGTCTACTTTGCAAGCCGGCCGTAGCCGCCTGTCCCCCAGACCCGGCCACTCTTTTTCTTCACCGAGTAATCGCCACTGACGGCTTCAAAAAAAGCCTGGCGCAATGAGAGAATCGCAGGCTGCTATCCATGCGGAAGGTTTACAAGCAGTGTAGGCAACACCAGGGGCCTGCCTGAGGTGCACACGTGCGCTCACGATAGCTAAATAAATATATATATATACACAGTTACTATTATATATATATAGATTTACTTATTTATATCTAAATCTAACATCTTAAAATATATTTATAAAACACATGTAACCGAAGCAGGTGTGGAAGGATTAACAGACCGATGCGCGAAGTGAACGATAGAGGAGGGTCATGAGGACCCTTCGCGCCTCTGGCGTGAATCCTTCCAGAACGTTGGAAGGGAGTGTCTCTGTTCGGCAGTCTTCTTCTGCAACCGCATCAGGTCGATGACGTTGAATCACGCGTGCCCTCTCTCGCTCATGACAAGTCTCATCAATGACTATGCCCAATTCCCGGAGTAAACTGGTGGTTTGACTTTTTCGTTACTGTGGTGGATTCACAAGCGCTGTGGCCAGGACCAACAGCGTGGGCTCAGACCACGCCCGAACGAGCGCACCGTTGGCTAGTGGAGCCAGACCAGCCAACACAGACATAGAGATCGCCATAGTGTGTAAGCACTTCTTGGCAGCTTGCTCTAAGAAAAGACTTCCAACCTCTCCGAACAACTCCTGAAGGTCATACTGGTTGTCGACCAATGTCCAAGCATGCTCAATGACGCTGTTGTCCATCATGGTTTCGGGCGCTCCAAAGCTATAATCACTATGTATAGTCAGTGTTGAAAGATACTTATCTCAAATGTATAGTCTCAGTGTTGAAAGATACTTAAAATGTTATGTGGGACCATTGTGATAAGATACTGCGCGAGCGTGCGTGAGCTGGCTCACTGTCAATAAAATGGACGTGACATGTCTATGGGTCCATACCGTGTAAAAAATATATATAATTTGGATGCCGGTAATTACCTGTAGTGCGTTGGCATGGCAGGACATGACAACTAGAACTTCTGCAGATGAGTGAAATGACCATGGCGGGCAACCCTGTGAAAACAAGAGCAAGCTGGTGGCAGCAAAAAAGCCGTCAAGATTGACTAATACGTGGAGGATGTATGGGGACGCAGCGGACGTAGCGACGTATAGGGAAGAGGACTACGTGGACGAGGACGCTCGGACCCCAGGATGTCGTGGAGGACGTGGGGGACGTCGGGGACGTGGACAGCAGGACGTCGAAGATGTGGGGGACGTCGGGGACGTAGCGGACGTGGACAGCAGGACGTCGAGGACGTGGGGGGCGTAGAGGACGTCAATGTACGTCAATGTCCAATTTCCGGTTCACTGTCCGGAAGTGCAAGGCTGGCAATACAGGCTCTGCCCACACTCCTTTGCCCACACAGGCTGCCATGATGATGCTGCTTTTGAACCATGTCCCACATGCAGCAATCCATCGCTTGCTTCAAAGCAATCACGAGGCCATTGAGGACATGCAGAAGCGCCTCTATACCACCTCCGTACCTCTTGGGTTCTCGAAAAGGAGAAGGACATTTGCTTCGGCAAGTCTCACAGAATGGTCAAAGGTGAGTCGGTGCAGTGGGACAATGGTGCGGCATCATTCAGCGAGGCCAGCCTTCTACTTTGGTACTTCACCGCCTTACACCACCACTTGGCAAGGCCAGAGCTCGGGCCCAGGTCCCGTGCGAAAGGTTGAGTGGAAACCGCTTGCGCAAAAATGGCTTCAGGGTCGTCAGATCATTCTACACACTGACTCCGCCAAGAGCTACAAGCTGCAGGTGCCTGATGTCTTGCGCGATCGCGTTGTGCATAAAAAGAAGCGCGTGAAGGTGGGGACAAAGTTCCGCTGGATTGCGCCGAAGTACGTGGAAATGCAGCGCCGCAAGGTGCCTGGCTCCAAAAAGGTCATCAAATGTAAGTCAGGTACCCAATTTATCGACCGTTGTTGGAAATTTCTGAAGGAGCGGCTGAACATCAATCAACACACCCGCGTCGGAAGTCAATTCTTGAAGCTTCAGCTTCGATCTGCCCAGTACGAGTACTGGCGCCGTGGCCAAGACCTCTGGATTGACACTGGAGTGTTGGTCCAGTGGTTTCTTGCGTCCACTGTACAGGCGGCTGGATAAATCTTTGCTGGTCAACGCGGCAAAAAGGTGTCTTCTGCCGCACCTGCCTTCCAACAAACTAAACCAGACACTTCTCACAACGCTATCTGTCTGCTTCCCGACATGCAGCCTCTGCCTCATTGACTTTCACGCACACATTCACCACTTATTACTTGTCTGCTGACTGGCATGCGTCTTCTGAATCATTCCTCTCCATTCCAACATTGGCTCTGGAGGGGGGGGCTAGCATATATATATATATATACATACTACACACAAAGGAAAAAACCAAAAAGGAAAGAAAGGTCTGAAGAAAACATGAAAGCAAAACAAGTAACAAAAAAACACACAACAAGAAACAAGCAGAGACTCTATGGCTCCTAGAAGGACCCAGAAGGATGGACCCTGACGAAGCGCAGATTTTGAGGTTGGCCCAGTTGGAGTTGGCACTGGTGCTGAACTCGGAGGCAAAATCCATCGGAATCCGGGGTTGGATGGATGACTTGCGAAAACGAGACAATTCAGCTGGATTTGGTGTATTCCAGTGAGGACTTCAGTTGGCTGTGCAATTCTAAAATTCAGCAAGTAATTTGCATAAATACAGGCAATCTATTCCCTACTGGAGCACATCGATGAGCTCAGAAGAACTTTGAGAGCTGCTGAAGAGGCTGCTTTGATGTGTGCTGCGTTTTTTGCTTATTCGGCTGTTTATTCCTGTATGATGACAGGAAAAGCTGGACGACCCACCCTTGATCAGTGCATTACTCACAATGTCTTTGTGAGGCACAATTCATTATGCTGCGATTTGATGAATTGGCGTTTGCCACCAAGGTCGAGGGCGAAAACGGACAAGACCTTAATTTGAAGGATTGTTCTCAACATTGCATTTGAAAAGGGTGTTGCGAGCCAGAGCAGATTGGAGACAGCCCACAGAGAATGATTTAATTTCAACCAAAGTCATGGTTTCTTGATGTTTCTGGTTTGCAGTAATACGGCTTACTTGGTAGCGTTATATAGTAAGGGTTGTAAAATGACAACATGTTCCCAGACCGTTTTAACACCATCTTGTTCTCAGCATTCTTTGTCCTAACAAGGCCAAGATAGCACAACTCTGTACAACTGGAAGATGCCATTCAATCCTGAGTCTGAGTGTGCTAAAGATTTGTGATAATCAGGTATTTGCAAGTTCCTGATTCGTTGGCTCAACTCCTTGCTATGCTGCTGCGACTGAGTTTAGTTTAATGTTTTGACAGGTGCTTCTCCAGAGTGACTGGTATGCGTTGTCCTGAAACATGCTTGCCGCTTGCCACTTACAGACTGCCCAGGATCTGCTGTCCTTTGGCTCTTGCGCTGCCGTTTTGTTGACTTCGGCAAACACCTAGTGATGTTGCGATGCTAATGTTGATGCATATTTGTAAAGATCCATAAACAGAATTGAATGGTACCTTTTGGCCTTTTGTTTCATCTTGATTGGTGATTGTGCTTGACCCTTGTATCAGGCTGGCCGAGCAGGAGGCTGAAGCACGAAGGCTGGATGCTCAAAAGGCACGTATCGGAAGAGTGCGAGTCAATCAGAGTCACATTCAACTAGGACTCTAAATAGGTCTGGAGCAATGGCCTCCAACCTAAGAGCGATGGCCTCCAACCTAAGAGCAATGGCCTTGGAACAAGAATAGAATAGGTCTGGAATTTTGATCCAAATAGCACGACGTTGAAACTCAAGACTTCTTGGAGATACCGTAGGCCTATTTCCAATGCTGCTATTGGAATTGAATCCAAGGTCCACATGCTGGACCATTCAGGTTTATTGTTTTCTGTATTTGAATTTCAGGCTAGGGTTGTACATGGGAGATCATGGGAGCATGTGTATGGTGAATACCTCAAGCCTCCATTGACACCAAAACGGTTTTTACTTGATTTATTGAAATTGATTCTGTCATTTAGACTACAATGCTCATGCCAATGTTAAGATTGAATTCAGGAATTACTGAAGTCCACCAAGACCGGACAGAAGGTGGTTGAGAGATGGGAGGCGTGTCGAGATGGGAGTGGGTTCAAAGTTGACGGTGAACATGAAACATCATGTACATCCATGAATAAGAATCTAGTAGTAACAAGTGCATCGCAAGTAGTAACAATGCCTTACTAGTAGTAACAAGAAGCTAGTAGAAACAATAAACTAATAGCTTCTTGTTCCTAGTAGTAAGGCCAGGAGCCCCTAGTAGCGTCCTTGCTCCTAGTAGCGATGCCAGGAGCCCCTAGTAGCATCCTTGCTCCTAGAACCAAAAACGCGCTTCACAATTTCCAGCAAAACGAGCTTTACAATTTGTGGCCGCAGTTGTGGCTGCGTCCACGTGTTCAGCTCCTGGCAGTTGGACCAAAAAGCAAAGAAAAGGATGCATCCAGAGGCCCACTTGTTGGTATCGGGGAGTCAATGATAGAGCAAATTGTATCCGATCCTCGTCAAAGATGTTTGGATCGAGGTTCCTTTGCTGGACATTCCAGTCGTGAAGCATCCGAAGGAAATGAGTGGCCAGGACGAGCATGCTGTGACAACAGCAGGAACAAGAGGACACTATTAGGAGCAAAGGGCATCGCTACTAGGAGCAAGAACGCTACTATTTTCTTGTTCATTCTCGCTCTTTTCTTTCTATGTCCTTGTATAATCTTGTCTATATTTTACGAAAGCATCAGCGCCCTGTTCAGTTCCAACGAGACTAGACTAGACAAAAATAGACAAAACGCGTACTGTCCTGTAGTTTACATATGTGTATTGAATGTTTGGGTAACATTGTACTCAGACTTCCTTGTTCACAGTTTTAACAGTATGGGTTCAACTGCTGATCTCACAAAGTACTTGAGGACAAAAAAACAACTGATTTGAGTTTGATTTGTATCGCATTATTGATGCACAGTGCTATATAGGAATGCACACTCATCTGCTAGTCTTTCAACTTTCCCTACATCAGAAAGATGATCTGAATGTGTCCGGCATCTTTCAATGTGCAGCGGCCGTGCCTGGCTTCCAAATGGCTCCAGAGATCCTAAAGCCTGGCCTGGCGGTGTCGCAACATGTTCAAACCACCTGCGCCTCGACAGCTTTGATGGGAGCACAGATAGGAGATTGGGAAATAGAAGGGGTGGTTGTTGTGTCGTCAGGGAGTCTCTTGCATTCACACACTGGAGCTCAAATTGTGGCGCCAAGCTTCGACGAACGCGCCAGACACACCAGCTTCGGGCAGTTCCCTTCGAATGTTGGAAGTTTGTTGGAAGATCGTTAAGAAGCTACTACTCGTAGGAACAAGTGCATCGCTTCTAGTAACAAGTGCCTTACTACTCGTAGTAGTAACAAGGACGCTACTAGGAACATTGCTTCCAACCTCTGCCAGATTGTGGAAAAGATCAGGGCGATGGCCTGTGGCCCTTCCGTCGGGCGATGGTCCTTCTCTTGGGCTTCACAGCAAAGCACTGGGCGCACAATCGTTGTACCGACAAGCGGAGAGGACACTATTGGATCTTCACCTTAGACTGGTAGACTTTAGACTCTATAGACTTCGCGGCTTCGATCATTCGAGAGAATTCCCTTTTCGGGGACGCAAGTTTCTTGAGCTCACCTGGAAACGGTAGAAAATGCTCAATGATAACGTGCTTTGCACGTTTTGAAAGAATAACGAACTTTCTTTATTCAAAGCAATCGCTGGACGTTATGAACGAGCGTTTTGCTGTGGCGCGGTGGCAGCTTCGCATCATAACATGGTCTGCCTTTGCGGTGCTGACTTGGATTACTGAGTGGTGGATCTCTGCTGGGCCTGGAGTCCCCTTGTATTGGCTTAAAGCTGAAGTGTTGGAGGGGCCCAGCGAAACTTCGTGGGTCCGTTTTGCGCGCCGAGGCTGCGCGGACGAGATACGTCGTATAATACAAGGCCCCAGCAGTAGGATTCCCCAGCAGTCGGATGCTGCGCAGCGCAGCAGCGGATGGGGGCGGCCTGACCGAAGCTCGTTGTACACATTGTGCAGATCAAGTATACAAATTCATGTCCGTACTTGGGCCCTACTTATAGTAGTGGCACCTCTAGATCAAATTGCTTGCTGCCTGTAATGTAACTCCAACCCACAAGCACGGCGCTGAACTCACAGGAATCTCCGGACAGGGCAAACATCTTGCACATCGCAGGATTTTCCTTCAGAGTTGGCTTCTCTGCCTGTGTACCACCACCACCACCACCACCGTGGGCCGCCTGAGGTTCTTCCCTGAACGAGCCTTCGGCCATCTCCATGGGATGTCTCCATGAGATGCCTTCGCTGAGCAAACGTTGCAGCATGCGCTGAAAAGTTATCTTAGACGTGTCACTTTGTCCCCTATCCCACGTACTAGTTGCTCCTGGCCCTCGTTTCCCCCTTCTCAGGTTTTTTTGTGGGTTTGGCCGTTAGGAGGCGGTGGAAGTAAGAGGTAGCTCACTAGTA